ACACATATACTACACTACAACCACTACAACTACACATGTACTACACTCCAACCACTACAACTACACATGTACTACACTCCAACCACTACAACTACACATATACTACACTACAACCATTACAACTACACATATACTTCACTACTGTACGTGCATTTGTGTATGTCGAGGTGAATCCCTTACTACATATACTTGCCAGAGCAGAATTTATGTCTGGGTGAATGTAATTATTGGTTATTGTGTGTGTGTGTGTGTGTGTGTGTGTGTGTGTGTGTGTGTGTGTGTGTGTGTCTTATAACTGTTTGTGTTGTTTTTATGTATGTAGTAAGAATGTAAATGAACTGTATTTTAAACACACACACACACACACACACCGCTGTAAATCAAGGCAGGTGTGAAGGTTTGATTTCATATTCATATTTCTATTGATGATGTTGGCAATGTCATGAATTTTAGTGGATGTATGCGTGTGTGTACGTCTCTATGTATGTGTGTGTGTGTAAGTATCTGTAAGTATGTACGTATATATGTATGTATGTGTGTACAGTAAGTCTCTATGTAGGTGTGTGTATGTTTTATTGTGTATGTGTGTTCGTCTTTATGTGTTTGAAGGTGTGTATATAAATTCAAGTGTATTTATGTGTGTGTGTGTGTACTGTGTAGTGTATGGTGTATGTATATTAGTCAACATGTACACTACGTGCGTACGCGTATACCTGTATACACATTATACATCAACCAACGATAATGTGTATGAGTATTGGACCATAAGTGTGTGGGCTGTATAACCTCTGGCAGTGTGTTGTATAGCTGCCAACCACACCTATCAGCCACACCTGTCAACCACACCACACCTGTCAACCACACCTACTAACCACACCTGTCAAACACACCTACTAACCACACCTGTCAACCACACCTGTCAACCACACCTACTAACCACACCTGTCAACCACACCTACTAACCACACCTGTCAACCACACCTACTAACCACGCCTGTCAACCACACCTATCAGCCACACCTGTCAACCACACCTACTAACCACGCCTGTCAACCACACCTACTAACCACACCTGTCAACCACACCTACTAACCACACCTGTCAACCACACCTACTAACCACACCTGTCAACCACACCTGTACAAGTAATCTTGGTCTTACTAAACACTATTACCATGGTGACAATATTACCTCCACAACCCTATGGTATTGTGTGACGGTGTGTGACGGTGTGTGACGGAAAAATTAATAACTCCATGTATCACCCCCCCGCCCCACATCCGTCACACCACAGCACCAGCACTTGACATTATACATACTTCACTTTAAATGACAATACAACATGTCGGGTGAGGTGTGCAATGACAAGCCTCCATGTATTTTGAGTATGACCCCATTACCTGACCTCCATTAGTAAACGAGGTGAACACATTTAGCCGGATGACCCGAGGTGAGAGATGGTTAAATGATGATACGTTGACCTGGTGGTGTATCTTTAGCACGTGACCTTGTGTGGCCCTTTGTGTGACCTTTTGGGGGACAAGGATATGTATATTACAATGTGTTGGTTTTCCTGGTAGGTAGTGGGTAATTTTTGTTGGCGCATGGTGGGGATGGGTTGGTAGTGTTGGGGTGGTGGTGGTGGTGGTGATAGATGGTGGTAGATGGGGAAAAGTTGAGGGGAAAGTGTTAGTGTTGTTGGTGGAAAGTGATGGTGAAAGAGAAGGTGTTGGTGGCTACAGGAGGAGGGAGAGAGGAGAGAGAGACAGGAAGGGAGAGAGGGCGGGGCCAGGGAGGTCGATGAACTGGCTTGCGACGCACCACCTCCTACCTCCACCCCCCAACACACCATCACCACACCCCAACCTCCCCATTCCCCCTTCCTCCCCACACCCCTTCCTCCCCACACCCCTTCTCCCACACCCCCCTTCCTCCCCCACCCCCTTCCTCCCCCCACCCCCTTCCTCCCACACCCTTCCTCTCCCACACCCTCTTCCCACACCCTTCCTCTCCCCACACCCCTTCTCCCCCACCCCTTCCTCTCCCACCCCCTTCCTCTCCCACACCCCTCCTCTCCCCACACCCCTTCCTCCCCACACCCCCTTCCTCCTTCCTCCCCACACCCCTTTCCTCTCCCACACCCCCTTTCCTCCCCACCTGTACGATTTATCAAACATCCATTCCCACAAAACAAACAAATCTCTTTAAGGATGACCCACTTAGTACTCAGAGGTCAAATACTTTTAGGGTTTGACCTTTCTTGCTGCTGCTGTTGTTGAATAGGTCATAATGGTCCCAGGTAGAACATTACGTAGACTGCTAGAAAAGGTCACCAGGTTTTCAGATTTGCAAGATTTCTGTCACTTTAGTTAATCTTGTATTCAAATTATTGGGATTATATTAAGATTAACCACCCCACCTTATTTCACGTCATTTTTAAACACTAATATTAACGCAGCCTAACCTAACCTAACTTAAAGTCAACGTAAACTAACTTAAACTAAACGTAACCTAAATTAAACTAAACGTAACCTAACTTAAACTAAACGTAACCTAACTTAAACTAAACGTAACCTAACTTAAATAAACGTAAACTAACTTAAATTAAATGTAAATTAACTTAAACTGAACGTAAACTAACTTCAACAAATCTTAACCTAACCTAACCTAACCTAACCTAACCTAACCTAACCTAACCTAACCTAACCTAACCTAACCTAACGTGAACAAACTGGTTACTTTATTTTATGACAGATGATAATACAAAAGACTGATAAATATGGAGGACAAACTGGAAGATCTTATAAGAATGACTCCAATAATAGTAATCCTTCATCATGTTCTTGGAGGAGGTTCAAGGAAAGCTTCGTGTGTGTGTGTGTGTGTGTGTGTGTGTGTGTGTGTGTGTGTGTGTGTGTGTGTGGCTAAGATAGAAACTTCTCTCCATACAGTCAGGTACTAAAGTGTTCTTCCTTTCCTGAATCACAAACCCCAAGATTCAGACTCAAACCGAAGCAGTAGACTGATACAATATTCTATCCATAAATGCTTCGGATTCATGAGTCTGATTCTCGGGGCTCGTGGTTCAAGGGGAGACGAACAAACGGACGGATTTTTATTATCTGTACTTCTTAGAAACCTCCCAGGTGAGCAATTAGCGCTTCTAGACATTCCTAAATAAGTTCTATGCATGTTTTAAAATGAAACCTGGTGGGCGGTGTGTCACAAGGTTCCTGGAAGTCACCACCTCTTCTTCAGTATCACGAATCATCAAGGTGGTGTTTTCTCTGCAGGTGCCACGGTCATAACTCCCGGGGGTGACCTTATTCTTGGTGGGTACTGCAGGAAGGTCCCTCTAGGTGTAGGCAGGTTAAGTGTGTGGACCCCTATAGATTCTCCTTTGATTGTGTGTTAGAGTGTTCAGGACAGTGTATAAGAGGGCAACGAGCGCAGCATACAGGCAGCATATGAGGCAGCATATACCAGGACAGCATATACGAGGGCAGCATATACGAGGGTATACGAGGGCAGTATACAGACATATATACAGGGCAGCATATACGAGGGCAGCATATACCAGGACAGCATATACGAGGGGTACATGAAGGCATATACCAGGACAGCATATACCAGGACAGCATATACCAAGACAGCATATGAGGGCAGTATACGAGGGCAGCATATACCAGGACAGCATATACCAGGGCAGCATATACGAGGACAGCATATACGAGGGCAGCATATACGAGGACAGCATATACCAGGACAGCATATACACAACATAGGACAGCATATACGAGGACAGATATACCAAGATATATATAGACAGCATATATACGAGGGATATATACCAGGGCAGCATATACTAGGACAGCATATCAGGACAGCATATACCAGGACAGCATATACGAGGGCAGCATATACCAGACAGCATATACGAGGGATATATACGAAAGCAGCATATACAAGAGACAGCATATACCAGGACATATACCACACACATACATGAGCATATACCAAGAAGCATATACGAGGACAGATATACCGAGGACAGTATAAGCATATACGAGGGCAGTATATACGAAGGATATACGAGGACAGCATATACGACAGTATATACGAGGGCAGCATATACCAGGACAGCATATACGAGGACAGCATATACGAAGATATACTCATATACCAGACAGCATATACGAGGCATATAGAATATGACAGACAGATATACCAGACAGCATATACGAGACATATACCAAGACAGCATATACCAAGACAGCATATACCAGACAGCATATATAGACAGCATATACCAAGAGACAGCATATACCGAGACAGCATATACGAGAAATAGACATATATATACAGACAACATATACCAAGACAGCATATACCAAGACAGCATATACCAACATGATACAGGAGCATATACCAGACAGCATATACAAGACACAATATACCAAAAAACATATAACAGAAAAACAATACCAAGACATATACCAAGAGCAGCATATACCAAGACAGCATATACCAAGACAGCATATACCAAGACAGCATATACGAGGACAGCATATAACATATACTAAGACAGCATATACCAGACAGCATATACGAGGACAGTATATATCACATATATATACCAAGACAGCATATACCAAGACAGCATATACCAGGACAGCATATCAAGACAGCATATACCAGGACAGCATATACCACACATATACGAGACAGCATATACCAAGACAGCATATACCACATGCGCATATACCAAGACAGCATATACCAAGACAGCATATACCAGACAGCATATACCAAGATCAAGATATACCAGGACGGATATACCAGCAGCATATAAGGACATATATACCACAAATATACAGACAGCATATACCAGACAGCATATACCAAGACAGCATATACCAAGACAGCATATACCACAGCATATACCAAGACAGCATATATCACAAGACAGCATATACCAGGACAGCATATACGACATATATATGACACAGCATATACCAGGACAACATATACCAAGACAGCATATACCAAGACAGCATATACCAAGACAGCATATACCAGGACAGCATATACCAGGACAGCATATACCAAGGCAGCATATACCAGGACAGCATATACGAGGGCAGCATATACGAGGGCAGCATATACCAGGACAACATATACCAAGACAGCATATACCACAGCATATACCAAGACAGCATATACCAAGACAGCATATACCAAGACAGATATACCAAGACAGCATATACCAAGACAGCATATACCAGGACAACATATACCAAGGCAGCATATACCAAGACAGCATATACCAAGACAGCATATACCAAGACAGCATATACCAAGACAGCATATACCAGGACAGCATATACCAAGACAGCATATACCAAGACAGCATATACCAAGACAGCATATATCAAGACAGCATATACCAAGACAGCATATACCAAGACAGCATATACCAAGACAGCATATACCAGGACAGCATATACCAGGACAACATATACCAAGACAGCATATACCAAGACAGCATATACCAGGACAACATATATCAAGACAGCATATACCAAGACAGCATATACCAAGACAGCATATACCAAGACAGCATATATCAAGACAGCATATATCAAGACAGCATATATCAAGACAGCATATACCAAGACAGCATATACCAAGACAGCATATACCAAGACAGCATATACCAAGACAGCATATACCAAGACAGCATATATCAAGACAGCATATATCAAGACAGCATATACCAAGACAGCATATATCAAGACAGCATATATCAAGACAGCATATATCAAGACAGCATATCAAGACAGCATATACCAAGACAGCATATACCAGGACAGCATATACCAAGACAGCATATATCAAGACAGCATATATCAAGACAGCATATACCAAGACAGCATATACCAAGACAGCATATACCAAGACAGCATATACCAAGACAGCATATATCAAGACAGCATATCAAGACAGCATATATCAAGACAGCATATACCAAGACAGCATATATCAAGACAGCATATATCAAGACAGCATATAAGACAGCATATACCAAGACAGCATATACCAAGACAGCATATACCAGGACAACATATACAAGACAGCATATACCAGGACAACATATATCAAGACAGCATATACCAAGACAGATATATCAAGACAGCATATATCAAGACAGCATATACCAAGACAGCATATATCAAGACAGCATATATCAAGACAGCATATATCAAGACAGCATATACCAAGACAGCATATACCAAGACAGCATATATCAAGACAGCATATATCAAGACAGCATATATCAAGACAGCATATACCAAGACAGCATATACCAAGACAGCATATATCAAGACAGCATATACGAGGGCAGCATATACGAGGGCAGCATATACCAGGACAGCATATACGAGGGCAGCATATACCAGGACAACATATACCAAGACAGCATATATCAAGACAGCATATACCAAGACAGCATATACCAGGACAGCATATACCAGGACAGCATATACGAGGACAGCATATACGAGGGCAGCATATACCAAGACAGCATATACCAAGACAGCATATACCAAGACAGCATATACCAAGACAGCATATACCAGGACAGCATATACCAAGACAGCATATACCAAGACAGCATATACCAAGACAGCATATACCAAGACAGCATATACCAGGACAGCATATACCAAGACAGCATATACCAGGACAGCATATACCAAGACAGCATTTGAACTAATCCCTTGAGAGAGACTGGCGTGGTGGTTGTTGTGAGTCAAGTAATACACTGCGGTTCCTGGAAGACTCACAGTATTAACCACCTAAGACACCAGTGGGAGGAACACCTTGCTAATATTACCAGGTCGTCTACAGGTAAAAGGTGAGATACTTGTCACGCCAAATTCATATTAATACTATTGATAATAAACAAACTACCATAAATATATAAATACTTTGGTAGACATAAACTTTTTCTCAATTTCTATTTTTTTTAATTATATTAAAATATTTTTGTTAATTGACTAAAAACAAGTATTTCCAGGAATTATTTTATGAGAAATGAAAATTTAAGTGTGATGGTTCCTCGTGTTCAGTGAATATCCTGTGTAGAAGTAAGGGATCAACTGAAGATTTGGCACCCTAGAGTATTTCACCTGAAGATTTAACACCCAAACGCTAACCTAACCTAACCAAACACCCTCAGGTAACGTTAGGATATTTAAACATGAAATAAAATAAGCTGGAGGGGGTAATAATGTTACAGTGCTCTAACGTACCTAATACACACCTGGCAAATATAATCATCACCAACGTTACTCTGCAGCAGCTAATTAGATCCAACTTTCCACACAGGTAATGACGGCTGCTGTAACTCACCTGTGATATAATAATTAATCATATATTTATCGGGCTTTTTAATTTCATGTTCCTCTCAAAGCCTTGTTGTTGACACCTGAGTGACTGTTTCACCGTCGACTGTGTCCTAAAACCTGACTGTGTTGTGTAACCTGACTGTTGTATTATTTGACTGTAATTCATGACCTTCCCGTTCCTCTGCCACTAACTATACGACCTCCTCCATCGTTTCCCTCCATACTCTTCCTCCTCCTCCTTCTCTTCCCCATCTTCCTTCCCCATCTTCCTTCCCCTCCTTCTCCCCCACCTCTACCTGGCGACATCCTCCACCGTCACCTAAGAGCCACCGTTGGTTTATGGGTCTCCGGAGTGCCCTGAGAAGCACTGCTGTATAACTCTCCCTGTATATGGGAGGTCGTACATGTCCCCTTCTTGTACCCCCCCCCCCACACACACACAGGTAATCACAATCAATCCGGTTTTACATCAATAATAATGTGTCTCATGTAATCCCCATAAATCCAGTTAAACTAATGATAACATTTTGTCGGTTAATCCAAATTGTTTCTCTTTATACTAATAACAAAGTTTTCTTGGAATATCCTCATAAATCCTGTTTACACTAATGATAACGTTTTCTCCGTTAATCCTCATCAAATCGTTTTCATGCTGTAAATAACGTTTGCTCTTGTAATCTCCCGTAAATCTGGTTTGATACTAATAATAGCGTTTTTTGACGTTAATCCGATCCAATTCATTTTACGTCGGGTCAAACGCAATTCACCTCCCACCGGTCTCCCGAGGGGGGTGAGGGGTGAGGGATGGGGGAAGGGGGACAAGAGGGAGAATGGGGTGGGGGAAGGTGAAGGGGGGGAAGGGGGGAAGGAAGAAGGGAGAAAAGGCAGAGGGTGTGGGAAGGAGGAATGAAGTAAGGGTAAGAGTAGGAGACGAGGAGAATGGGGGGTGGGAATAGAAGGGAGGGGAGAAGAGGCCGTAGAGGAGGTGAGGGCGGGAGGGGGAGAAAGACGAAGGAGGGGGGGAGTAGGGAGGGGAAGAAGACGAAGAATAAGGATGGGGGAGGTGGGGGAGGGAAGGTATAACACGTTCAGGACACAGGTGAGGTCTCCTAGCTCAGGTGTGTCTTGTTTATTAGACCATCCAGGTGAGCGAGGGGGTCGATGTGTTGCTTTATGAAGGTGTGATATTTGTTACCAGGTGAGAGGTGAGGGGAGGTGTGGGGGGGGGGCGGGGTATGAGGAGGGGGGGCAAAAACAATAACCAACACTAATAACAAGGCAACAACAACAACAAAAACACTGGTAATCCACAACAACTAATAACACAAGGACAGCAGTACAGCACAGGACAAGAACCATTGATGGCTTCAGCCTTAATGGACACATAAACCCGAGTCTGATTACCGTCGCGTGTTACTTGGCTGATAAACCTGTCAGGTGGCATTAGGTATGACATGACACACACAGAGAGAGAGTGTGACAAGTCTTGATAAGGAGGGTGTGAGAGAATGATGAAAGGGGAGAGTTAGGTTAATGAAAGGATAGATAAAGAGAGATAGGCGGAAATAAGGGTGATAAAGAGGGTATGAAACACTTCAAACATCATCCTTCCCTGAACCCAACACACTGAGCCCAACCAACACACTCCACACATCCTGAACCACACACTCACACACTGAGCCCAACACACCACATCCTTCCCTGACAACCTCCCACACTGAAACCAACCAACACACACATCCTTCTGACACACCCACACACTGAGCCAACCAACACACCCCACATCCTTCCTGAACAACACACTCACACTGAGCCCAACCAACACCCCACATCCTTCCCTGAACCCAACACACTCACACTAGCCCAACCAACACACCCACATCCTTCCTGAACCCAACACTCCACACACTGAAACCAACCAACACACCCCACACATCCTTCCCTGAACACAACACACCCCACACACACTGAACCCAACCAACACACCCCACACATCCTTCCCTGAACCCAACACACTCACACACACTGAACCCAACACACACTCCACACATCCTTCCCTGAACCCAACACACTCCACACACACTGAACCCAACAACCTCCACACATCCTTCCCTGAACCCAACACACTCCACACACACTCACCCCAACCAACACACTCCACACATCCTTCCCTGAACCCAACACACTCCACACACTGACAACCAACACACCCCACATCCTTCTCCTGAACCTCCACACACACTGAGCCCAACCAACACCTCCACATCCTTCCCTGAACCCAACACACTCCACACACACTGAACCCAACCAACACACTCACATCCTTTCCAAACCAACACTCACATCCTTCTGAACCCAACACACTCAACCCAACCAACACCTCCACATCACTTCTGAACCAACCTCCACACATCCTTCCCTGAACAACACACTCCACACACTGAACCCAACAACACTCCACACATCCTTCCCTGAACCCAACACACCCCACACACACTGAACAACCAACACCTCCACATCCTTCCTTGACCCAACACACTCCACACACTGAACCCAACCAACACTCCACACATCCTTTCCCAAACCCAACACACTCCACACACTGAACCCAACCAACACACTCCCACATCCTTACCCAACACACTCCACACATCCTTCCTGGACCCAACACACTCCACTGAACCCAACCAACACACTCTTACTCCCATTTTCTTCACCACCGAGAGTAAAAATTATTTTCATATTAGTACATTATTTTCACGTTCGTCCCCACACTAGACGGCCTCTATCACCTGTCTGTTTAACTGTCCATTACACCGACCAAAACTCACCACAATATCACCCAAGACGAGGAATTAACCACACACACACACACACAGAACACACACACACACACACAGACACACACAGAACACACACACACACAGACACACACACACACACAGACACACACCACACACACACACACACACACACACAGACACACACACACAGACACAGACACACACAGACACACACACACACACACAGACTTTTGATTTTTGAAGCTTGAGTCATGAAGCAATACACTTTATCTCTTATCGATTCTGGTTCTGAGTTTGTACCTACTTTCTCTGTGGTGTGTGGTGTGGTGTGGTGTGGGTTGTGTGGTGTGGTGTGGTGTGGTGTGGTGTGGTGTGGTGTGGTGTGGTGTGGTGTGGTGTGGTGTGGTGTGGTGTGTTGTGGTATGTGGTGTGGTGATGTGGTGTGTGGTGTTGTGTGGAATGGCGTGTAGTGTAGTGATCAGGTGACGTGAAAAATACATATTGTAATAATTAATTGAGATATTTTACTGAGGTAATTAAGTAGTAAGATAGTTAAGTAGTTTCATCGTTAGGTAATAGATTAGGTCGTTAGATAATGGGGCAGTTTAGTCAGTAGCCTGGGTGTGTGTGTGTGTGTGTGGTGTGTGTGTGTGTGTGTGTGTGTGTGTGTGTGTGTGTGTGTGTGTGTGTGTGTGTTTACTTCGGCTCCAGACTGTCTACATGTCTACACCGACAAGCGTAATTGAGACATAAATATGAATAAATCATGAAGAGGAAGCCAGAGAAAGCAAGGAAGAATGAAGGAGGAGGAAGCAAGGAAGAATGAAGGAGGAGGAAGCAAGGAAGAATGAAGGAGGAGGAAGCAAGGAAGAATGAAGGAGGAGGAAGCAAGGAAGAATGAAGGAGGAGGAAGCAAGGAAGAATGAAGGAGGAGGAAGCAAGGAAGAATGAAGGAGGAGGAAGCAAGGAAGAATGAAGGAGGAGGAAGCAGGAAGAATGAAGGAGGAGGAAGCAAGAATGAAGGAAGAGGAAGCAAGGAAAACTGAAGGAGGAGGAAGCAAGGAAGAATGAAGGAAGAGGAAGCAAAGGAGAAAGCTAGAGGAGGAGGAAGCAAGGAAGAATGAAGGAGGAGGAAGCAAGAAGAAGTAGGAAGGAGGAGGAAGCAAGGAAGAATGAAGGAAGAGGAAGCAAGGAAAAATGAAGGAGGAGGAAGCAAGGAAGAATGAAGGAGGAGGAAGCAAGGAAGAATGAAGGAGGAAGCAAGAAGAATGAAGGAGGAGGAGCAAGGAATGAAGGAGGAGGAAGCAAGGAAGAATGAAGGAGGAGGGAAGCAAGGAAGAATGAGGAAGGAAGCAAGGAAGAATGAAGGAGGAGGAAGCAAGGAAGAATGAAGGAGGAGGAAGCAAGGAAGACTGAAGGAGAAGCAAGGAAGAATGAAGGAGGAGGAAGCAAGGAAGAATGAAGGAGGAGGAAGCAAGGAAGAATGAAGGAGGAGGAAGCAAGGAAGAATGAAGGAGGAGGAAGCAAGGAAGAATGAAGGAAGAGGAAGCAAGAAAA